AAGGAACAAGAGGGAAACCAGGCTCAGGGATTCTGCTGCACTTCGTGCACCTGTCCCGTCCATCGTCTCCCCTCAAGGCTTCAGGGAGAAGACCACCATCTCCCTGCCTACCGGCACCATTCACACTATAACCGAGGCTAAGACCTGGCCCAAGGTTACCACCGCTCGCAACACTTGAGGGGTAACCTGCAGCATTGCTAGACTGACTAACGCCAGCGCCAACCCCTTGGTGACTAACGCCACCTCCGTAGGCAGGACCATAGAAACTGGAACCACATTGATTGTTCCCAATTCCATGAGCATCCGCAGCACTACCGTGGAACCCGGGCGCTCCACCAGGGTAACCCCCGGTAGGATCCCCTCCACTCGGGCCTCCAGAAGGCCCAGCGGGATCTTGGCCTCCACCATAATGTCCAGGACCTGGCGGTGGAGCTGGGGCATGTCCATGCCCACCACTTCCGCTCCCACCTTGACCAGTTGGTCCGCCTTGCCCACCACCTCCCCCGGGAGGAGGAGGAGGGGGCGGTCCAGCTTGAGCGCGTTCATGCCGAATATTGCAGCGTGCACATCGCTCAAGGCCGGTGAGTCCCACAACCCGTACAGAGATACATGGAGACCTCCTGAGCATTCTTGCGGCATGCCCAGCATTTCATCTTCAGGAACTGACAATTGCAACAGTCCCCGTCGTCGCCACGACAAAGCCCGCAGAACTCACGACCGCATGTCACACACGAGAATTCAGCATTCGGGTGCCTACGGTCGTTGGGATCATCGAGGGCACAAATCTTTGGCGCGTCTGGGCCAGCACCGCCGGGAGCCCCTCTTGCAGCCGGCGCTGAGGCCTGTCCACGATCCGAAGGAGCTCCAGCAGTCCCTCGCCTATCGCCGGGACTCTGGGTGTCGGCGCTGACTCTGCTCCCAGGAGTCCTCCACTCATCACCAGGACTCTGGATGTCGGCATGGACCCTATTATCTCCACCACCTCCTGAATGACGACCTGGGTTCGGAGAGACGTTCCCGCTATCGCGGATTGGCCTATCAAAATTCGGAGAGACGCTCCCGCTATCGCGGATCGGCCTCTCCCCCCTCGGTTGTCGACTCCGGACCTCAGATCCCTATCGGGGACGGCAGCAGGCCTCGGGCTCCTATTCCTACCCGCATCCCTATTGGGGGAAATAGAAACGTCCCCCCTTGCGCGCGCGCGGGGACCACCCCTTGCACGCTCCGGTGGCGAATGCGACCTGTCAGGCAACCCCCGAACCCTCCTGCTCCTGCTGTCGGACCTCTCCCTAACGGGATAGATGGGATGCCTGTCTGCGCGAGAAGGATCGACCCTATCGGGCACATTCGGCAAAACATGATCAGGCAAAACAACGCCTCCGCCTGGTCTCACCGGCAGGCCAGTACCCCGGCCGTCACCTTCCCCTGGTGTAGGCGTCGGTGACCTGATCCTATGTCCTTGCCCCGCAAATGCATGGTAACCAACATTTCGCCTTTCTCTGGGTTGTGGAGGAGCTTCATTAATCTGCTGGACACCCTGAATGATGCCAGCAGCCTCGTCAAATTGACCCTCCATCTCAAAGAGCTGGGACATGATTCTGTTGTTCGCGGCGCTAAGGTTACGCACGTTACCATCGATAGCGCTGACTCTCCGCATAACACCTTCAAGTGTACTCCGGAATGTGCCGAGCTCTCGCCTAACGGCAGGCTGCACTTGGTCACTGCTGGCAGGAAGATTACGGATCTGTCCTTGGATGCCATCAACGACCCGATTCACAACTGCCGATCTCGCTTCATACTGTTCAACATGTGATTTCACGGTTTCAAACCTAGAAATGATGTCGTCATGATCCCGACGTTGACGTTGAATTCCTCGAGCCAGATCCTGCATTTTCCGATTGATCTCGTCAACAGCCTCATGCCAGTCCTGCGGGGAATCATGCCCTGATGGTCTATCGACCTCCTGAGGACCCCTTCCACTCTGCAGTCTAGACACTCGATTAACAAGACGAGTGTGCTCCTCTTTGACCCCCTCAATAGATTCAGAGGCCCACTTGGCAAATGTCTCGTGATCAAGGAGAGCTTTCTCGATCTTCAGGTTTAACTCCCTGAAATATGCATCGACTACACTGCCGCTGGCCCTATCGGATGGATGCGCGACAGGGTTCGGGTTCCATACACCTGCCGGGGTCCGCATCCCAACGGCTTTCTCTACCGAGAACATCCGTTTCTCAAGCTTGTCCAAATCCTTAAGGGTCTCGTCCTCAGAAGCAGCATGGCTTCTGCGGGCAGCCTCACTATTCTCCTGGATCATCAGGCGAAGCCGATCAGTCGATGCCTCATTGTCCCTGACAGATTCATGGACCTCGTGGGACAGTAGGTTAATCCTCTGCTCCACGACCTCGGCTTGCTCATCGATGGCTTGCCTCGCAATGGCCTTGCTATCGGGAATAACTTCCCTTGCGAACCGTTGAACTATCATTCGCATCCTCCCGGCATCAGATTGAGTCGCAACCTCAGCTGCCAGGCGATCGACCTTGTCCTTCGTCCGTTGACGTCGCTCCATTCCCTTCGCATGGAACTCACCTGACCGTTCAGTACCCTGATTTGGTCAGCAAAGATGTGGAACGCCTTCGCGACTGAGCCAGAAACCTCACCTCTCTCGAGCATCTCCTGGATGTGCAAATCGAACACCTCCTTCGCCCTAGCGTCACCTGATTCGCCGGAAGACTGGGATCTGAGGGCGGGAGGAGTCGATATCTCGATCCTCTCAGGAGCCCCACTAGCCCCGGCATGTCTTCTGGGGTCATCCACGGGACAATCATCAATCCTGGATGGTCTACTCGGGGTAGATCCCCTTCTCCGGCTATCGCCAGATCGAGGATCAATGTTGGATGCACGTGACTCGGGGGTGGAGTGAATGTGAACATCAGCGGGATCGGGCATCTCCTCATCCTGCGGAGTTGAATCCATCGGTGAGGGGCTAGCCCTCCTCGCCTTTGACCTATCGGTCTCAGCGGCGAGAGGTGACGGTCTTTTCGCAGAAACACTACGTTCCCTGGCAGTCGAACCCCATTGAGGTGTGAACTCGTTGCTAGACCTCAGAGTTTCAAGATCACTGGTATCTCGCCCTAACGGGCTAGCGATCGACGGATGATCTTCGATCCCGAGTGCATCGGCAAGCCGACCATCTCTGGCACCTGTCCTAACAACATCGGCAGCCCGCTCAGTGATCCTCGGTGAACCAGTAACCCGGTTCGAGTTCACGTCTCTCTGACTCAACGGACCTCCAAATGTGATGTTGGGAAAGGGGGGAACATTCGGGGAATCACCAATCGCCGGGGGACCTACCGGTCCCTCGCGGTCATGAATGGCCTCCAATCCCCGAAGAACTTCCCGACTGTCCCTGGCTCTCTCTCTCTCGCTTCGGGCATCCCTGTCAACGCGAAGGTCCCTGGCGGCTCCACGAGAGAGGCTCCTGGGCCTCGCAGCATCACGGATCCTAGCATTTCGTCGTGGTTGGTCCTCCTCCTCATCACGGCGATCCGCAAATGCGGCATACTCGTCATCATCATCGACCTCAAACTTGGCAGCGGCGGGACTAGTCCTTGCAGTCTCACGGCTGCCTGCATCTCGGCGCGAATGGCTCTCCTCCTCATCCGCAAAATTGTAATCTTCGCCATCATAAGACTCAGATTTGGCAGTATTAGGGTTGGGCCTACCGGCATCAGATCCCTGCTTTGAGCTACTGCCCCAACCTGCGGTTGATTTCAACAGATCATCGTATCCGAAGTCCGTGAATTTCCGCTCCTCGTGCTCATCAAACTGACCTGGATTTTGAGAACCAGTGGATCGGCCCGGGATACCTCCCGGAGCCAGAACCATAGTCCCTGGTCCCTGCGGCCTATTCTCAAACTCATCCGAGACCTGCGACTCACCTGGAACAAGAGATCTCGGAGGTCGAATCGGCATGGCCTCCGGGTCATCCGAATGAGGGCGGGCCATGTCCATCGCCATGCTGATGAAGTCAAAACGTCCACGCCTGTGACCTGATTCAGAGCCACTCCTACCGGAGTAAACCCTTCGTGTCTGCTCGTCATCAGTGGCCTGGCGGAAAATACGATCGTCTCCATCGTCGGCGTACCTGCCACGGCTCCTGGGTGTATCCCTACCGGGATCTTCACCCCTGCGGTCCTGACCTGTTGAACCTGCTTCGAAATCCTCGTAGTCATAGTCCGGCAGGTCCTCACCTGAGCGGAGGCCACCTAGGATGGCCTCCTCATCCACGACACTCCTGCGAGATCGTGGGGTCGACATAGAGCTTGTAGTTGATGGTCTCAAGCGCGTAGGAAAGTCCTACGGCTGATAACCTGTGATAATGGGAGAGGTGTTGTCCTTGACCATCTTTGTGGCGCCGGGTCTGTGGTTCAATTCCCGCCGGGGACGCCTACCACGGGGGGAATCGGCAACTGGCGGACTGCGCTGGGTCAGTGGCGGTGCGGGCATGGTGGTTCCCATGGTGGGCGTTCCCGATCATACGGCTGATAACCTGTGATTCGGGCACGAGCCTGTGCCCAGGCAATGGGTAAGTTGGGGTAAACAAGCCACAAAAGAAAGGTTCCCCAAAAGCAAACCAATCCCCGGTCCCAAAGATCAGGGTTTCCCACACACCAGAGAACAACAACCAAAGGAAAACAAACCAAACAAGAAAAGGGTTAACCCGCAACCTTGGTCGACAACAGGCCGCACGACTGGTCCCTACCAACCTGGCGGCGGCCCGAGGTCTCTTTCTCCCCCGAGATGCCGTCGGTCGACGCAGGGGTTCGGCGACGCCCATTCGAGGCGCGACGGAACCCAAAACTTGAGCCAAACACCACAGGTCAGTCACTACCGCGACATCCCTGGTGATGTAATAAACCATGGCTAATCACAAAAAGCAAATTTGGATACTTCGAGCTTCTTGGCTCCCTCCCAACCACGCTGCAGTGCAGCGCCGAGTGGCAGATATGCCCTGCACAAAGACGCCCGTTCCTGCGCTCAGCAAACCCGACCGCACAAAAAACCAGCAACCACACAGCGGGGGCTGTCAATTGCACACAGCACAGAAGGACACCTGGTTCTCTCGTATACATATACATATATATATATATATATGTATATATGTATTATTGTTGAAGGTTGATTGATTTGTGTACACTTCTTTACACCCTACATTCAGGCTCAACACGTGCCTCTGACGCAAAAGGACAACAAACCCAGCATGGCCGATGTTAGGCCTTGTTCTCACATCTGCAATCTACTGCTCGCTTGACTTTGGCTAAACGTATCCTAGTGGGTCCAATAAAGTGACATCCTCAAAACTACCCTCAAACATGGTGGTTCAAAATGGTTTCCACCTTAAAGGACTCTGCCTTACACGGCCATGCGTCCAAAGCCCAAATTGTGTCAGGCCCAAGCGACACGTACCCGCGGTTTCCCTCGTTTCGCCTGCAGCGAGCAGAACCAGAGAGATCGGATGGTTGAACTCCGCCAGCAGCGCCACCAGGAAACCGATGATGTAGTGGTGCAAATGAATGTAGACCCCTGCCGTCTGCGACCTTCGATACGAACACACGCGAAAGCAACCGATCTATGCCAAACAAAAACACAGAACTCTCCTGGAAGGGTTCCGAAACGGCAAGTTGTGCTAATAACACCCAACTTGCGACTGTTTTTCCATGTTAATTCCCCAAAAACAAAAAACACCTAAACTAATACCCCTCCATATCAAAATCAGGGGCCCCAAAGCATGGAGGGTTGCCCACTTTTCGTTTTAAACCAAAGAAGGGTACTGAGCCTCAAGACGACGCTCTGTGGCTCCGGGCGCCACATAGAGATACGAGGCATAGAAGATCCAAATCGAGAGCCGGGAGACGCTGTAGGCCAAGAAACCTGAACACATCCGGCCGATGGCACTTGGAACCCCCAGATTGCCACAAAACAAGTCATTGAAAAGAAGGCTTCTAAGGAAAAGTCATGAGAGTACAACGGCTACCCGGCCTTGGAGCTGTGTAAGGGAATGGGTTTATGTGGAGTTGTTGGGAGACATTTGACAGCACTGTGAGCGCAAATTGCCCCTCAGAATTTGCTTGCGCGGTTTGGCAAACGTGTACCAGTGCTAGCAATGACCAGAACAGCAGACAAATGTGTGTGTGTGTGTGTGTTGTGGTGTGTGTGTGTGTCTCTGTGTCTGTGTGTTGTGGTGTGTGAGTGTGTGTGTGTGTCTCTCTCTCTCTCTCTCTGTGTGTGTGTCTGTGTGTGTGTCTCTGTGTCTGCGTCTGTGTGTGTGCGTGTGTGTGCGTGTGTGTGTGTCTGTGTGTGTGTGTCTCTGTGTGCGTGTGCGTCTCTCAAATAGGGGAGCCTAAAAAATGGTTGCCGTCCTTCTCTTGCTTTTCCCCGAAAGCATCCCGAAGGTTGTTCTTGTGCAGAGCCCTTGAAAAAAAAGCACAGAGCAACTTGGACGGGATCACTTGCGCAGAGCAAGCTGCGCAGAGCCACTTGCGCAAAGCACTGCTCAGATCTACTTGCGCAGAGATATGTGAATTAAGGTTAAGTTCTACGGAGAAGATTCTTAACGCACGTGAGAGAGCTCGGCAATAAGATTCTTCTTTTTGGCGGGTGGTGTGGTTGAGCACTTGAAAAGAGACACTCGAAAAGAGCTACCTGCATAGAGCAATTTGCATGCGCGACACTGCGCGGAGTTGCACTTGCACAGAATCCAAGTCTGCAGGATCTTTAGCTCATGTGGGACACTCTCATTCTTGGGGGCTTGTTGTCATCGTGGGAGGGTCGGGGCTTGACCAAACATAGTGGCAAGGCCAATCGTCTACTAGTTCTCTAAAACCACACCTCAACCCTCAAACACACACACACACAAATTGATCGAATTGATCACGCTGGCAGCTGAAAGGGAAGACTACGTGAAACAAGACAAGACTTGTTTGCAGACACCTTTGCGGCGGCAAGGAACAAAGGCAGGTTTGTGCGCCATGCAGTGTTTGAACCAAGATTCCAACACCCTCATGAAGGCAGCAATGAACCCACGGCTCTCTAATGAGTGTTGCTGAGGAACATGCATGCACGCACACACACACACACAAACATGCCGAATGAGACCCCAATACTGCAGAAACAGGATGCAGAAACAGGAAGCCGACACGACCAACATGGCCTTACCAACTGGGACCCAGCGATTAACCTTATCCAAGCTGGAGCAATCCTGGGCCATCGGCCATGTGAGGAGTGAAACATACATCCAAAAAGCGCCTGTCCAAGGGGATCCTTGAAACCTGGTACTGATGTTTGCTCCCAAATGCATCCCAGGTGTTTCAACAAGGGGAACCCCGGCATTGCTTTTGGCTTCCCTCTACACCAGCCCCCGCCAAACAAGGGTGCCCAAAATCATACGAGCCCAACTCCCGCGGCACAAGCATGCGCAAGCGGGCAAGCGGCCTGAGAGGGGGTTGTGTCGGTAGGCGCACACGAAGTGCCAGAGCAGAAAGGCGAAAGCACAGCTGGCGATGCCCACACCGATCATCACGTTCACCCAGCTCTCCCTGAAGAAGGCAGTGGTCAAGGAGATCCTCGGACATCTGTCGCTTTTTCTGAGGCGACCCTTTTTGGGGGTGGCTTACAGGACAAGCAAAAGGCAACCACCAGTTGGGGGGGGTGTTCCAGCCCAATTTGACGCAGATCAAGGAACATGGAACCCAGCCAGTTCTTCATTGGGACACTGAATCTTGGGATCCCCTTTGCAGGGGCTGCTTCGGGTCTGGTTGTTTGAACATGTGGACCGAAATGTATGGTAGGAACCCCAAGCCATGATCCAAAAGGGGCTCCCTGATTCGGCGCCTGTCGTTTATGGATACTGGGGCTTCGGGCGCAGCCATAAACCTCTCAGGGTGCCCATTGTGTTTTTCAGAGTCTGACACTGCTTGACCAATGAACACGCCATGTCAAGAATGTGAGAGATCTCACCTTCAAATATCGCGGCCCGTGTCTTTTTTGCTTCAACCTATGAAAGCATTGCTAACAGGACTTCACACATTCACTAACCAGATCTAGCCATCGGTTTGAATGTCACTGGTACCAAATGGCACGGGGCAGGCCAGAGGAACTGTGAAGATTGTTACTTCAAGACGATCTTGCGCGAACCCACAAGTGAGCAGCGGCCGTTCTGCTCATTGACTTTGGGTTCTGACAACCTGGGTATACCACTTTACATAGGCCTTACGATACCTTTCAGGCAGGAGACCACCTATTCCATGGCCAATGAGGGTTTTTGGGCTCTGCGCGCACATGGGGATCAAGCCATCTCAGATCGCCGATATTTGATATTGATGGCCTCTGGTGACCGCAAACGACGCAAAGCGATGCCAGGTGGCGTGGTGAGTGCCGGCACAAGGTCCAAGGCACCCCAACCCTGGGAAGCGCTTCACAATGTTTGGTTAAGACCCCTGAAAAAAAAAGTGTCCAGTAGTGAAATCGATTCCCTTTAAAACCAACAGGGCAAAATTAAGCAACATATTCTTAAGTAAATGGAAGACAAGACACCTCTCTTTGGAGGATTTGTTGGGCATCCCTCCCAACTGACATGGACCTGCACAAAGCCCCTTAAGAGGAAAGTAGTCTTTCACCAGGGGTCTATGCACCTCTATATCTTCTGATCCTCACGAAAGTATCAGGGACCAACATCTCGCGAGCCTCACGCACGACTTGGCTGGACCGAAACATGGCAAGGATCATCTGTTCTATTTCCCGGTTGATTGCTTTGTCATTATTGAAACGGACAAATACCTTGCCTTGCGAGAAATTTTCGTTGGAATGTGAAAAGAGAGCGAACATTAAACCCAGGCTTACACACATAAGGCCACTTCGGACTTTCCTGTCATTGTTATCCTTCAGCCCGACCTCAGGCTAGCTTAATATGTTCAAATAATACTTCATATTCTAGCCAAGTTTAAAGATTCGTCATGGAGTGGACTGCTATGGCCCGCAAGGTGAGGCCGTCCATCTTGGTTGCCCTAGATCCTCTGCTCGACTCTGGTCAATTGTTTTGGTGAGCCTCAAATGTAAAACACATAACACGAGGTTTCAGTCACATTGCTTCTCTTTTTTCTCCCTTTCTTTGTAGCTGCACTTGATCCACTTGCTGAGTGGATCACCCAGAAAAAGTCCGAGCTTTGTGTTTAACACTAGAATCATCTTCCCCAAGACTTGTTGGAAAGGGAATGACCTTTTATCACGGTCCAACTGCTGGTTTTTCAGGGGATCGGGTTCATTCCCGAACCGATCCCCGGGTTCATTCCTGGGAGTGAGACAAATCCTCTCGCTGGGCATCCCGACGGGGCCGCTGAGGGTCATCACTGCTAGGAAGGCCAGGCCGCGGGGCCGGGGCCGGCTGAAGCGGAAGAGGTACTCGAACCTAAGCCCAATCCAGCGCCATCATGTGGCATATCCCACATCTTTCCATATGGGTCAAATGTTGAAAACTATGTTTATGCATATGTATATATATATATATATATATATAAATGTATATCTATAAATACATGTACATATATATATATACATAATATATGTACACATTATAAAGAGTGGCTGGTTCTTGGGGGGCCATGTTGCAGGCTCAAAATGGCAGGTGTGCCGTGCTGCGTATGGTTTCAAAAACCAAAGCTGTTGGCTACCTACTGCGGCAGGATGTTGTCCAAATCACTCAGGAGTTGGCCTCCTAACAATCTATAACAATCTGAGAATAGCGCCTGTGAAGCAGCGAGTTGGTTGGTAATTCTGGGGGGAAAAGTGCACCCTCCGGATATGGAGGTGATAAATGCCCCGTGCTTAGAACCCAACTGGGCACAACCACAGAACTGAGGGCAGCAACCGGGGTCCTTTCAGCCTTCTAAGGGTCAAAAGCGGAAGATGTCCACTCATAGAAGACGGTCTCAAGGACTACACAATGACCCAGGGTTGGCTTAGGGTCGGCTAAGGATGTCCCTCCGGTTTCTAGTGAGGAGCCGCTGTTGCAACGCAGCGAATCATGAGGCGCCCGCCCCTGCCCACCAGAAGGATTATCAGAGCCTTTGGATCACAACAGTTCAAGGTTCTTACTAAGAACCCCTTCTTGGGTGGTGAGCCATTTTTGCCGAGAAGTATTGTCCACCCCAACGGGGATTTTTTTGTCCAGTGCGTTCCCGCGAGCAAGCGAGCAATCAAGCAAGCAAGCAAGAATTCAACCAACCGTAAACCAACCCTAAACCCAAGCAAGCAAGGGAACAAGCAATCAGGCAGGCAGGCAGGCAAGCAAGCAAGCAAGCAGGCAAGCAGGCGAACAAGCAAGCCAGCAAGCCGGCAAGCCGGCAACCCTGAGCCAACCCTGAACCAACCCTAAGCAATCCATAAACCAACCGTAAGCCAACCCTAAACCCACCCTCCTAAACCAACCCCAATGCAACCCTCAACCGACCCTAAACCAGCCCAACCCGAATCCAACCGCAAGCAAGCAATCAAGCGAGCAACCCTGAACCACCCCTTTAAAAAAAGCAAGACCGACCCTCCTAAAACAACCTCACAGCAATCCCGCAAACAACTCGGCTCATGCTTGATGTGGCAAAACAGGGGAAGCCCCCCAAAAATCTCGGTTGCTTTCTGCTCCCCTGCTGAAAGTTTAACTTTTAGTGGTTTTATAGAAAACCCATTAGTTGGCAAAAGTTAAAGTCCTAACATCCAAGCAAACTGCACCAAAGAAATGGTGTTCCTGTTTGGCTTCGCTTCAAACCAAACTGCAAAGGGTGTCCGCAAAAAATAGCAAAGCCGGTCAAAAAACATATCTCGTTTCTTCCTGGCTACTGATCATATCGCTATGGTCTTGCGGATACGAAAGGATGCGGTTGCGAAGTGATTCAACAAAGGGACGAATTTGGGTGAAATCTCTATCCCTGAAGGGAAACCAGCTGGATTCACGACAGAACGCGTACACTCAAGCCTGGAACAACATAGCGTGCGTCTCTCACAGGTGTCGTGGCTACAGACTTGGAAGAACTGGCCCATAGTCTGGCAAGCAGCCTAAATGGTTCGTTTGCGGGGGAGTGGTGCCAGTCACGCAAAGCTGACCTGCAAATGCGGCTGAGAAACCACTTTCTCAAGATCTCACAAGAACCCTTCCACAGGTCTCTTCCATTTGTTTTTTCGCCCACTGGAAAACATGAGAACATACATACTTCCAGTAGTGAAATCGATTCCCTCTAAAACCGACCTGAGTGGGTTGTTCAAACAAGGCCTAAACCTGGGAGATTTTTTACTAGAATGGTCCCTGAAAGTGACTCAAGTCCATGCCAGGAAGCCGTGAGGGCAGATGCACCCCGGTGAGGACCGCCAGAAGGAAGCCCATTATGAACCTGTGAGCCCGTTTGAGGTTCGGTACAACACAAACTCGGGGATGTGTGGTGAAACTCTGGCGTAAAATGGGACTGCGCCTGGAATAGGAACTCAAAAGACACCCGAATAACCAAACAAAGCAACAACATGTGTCTGTGTTGGAGTGTCAACGTCTCTGGTGACGCGATGGAAATGATCAAAACTCAAGTTCCCCAGAGATATGAGGCCTTGATGGGTGTCGGACGATCTGATTTGGGGCAGGCTGATTCCAAACTCTGCACCCACCAAGTCGTCTTCAAATGAGCTCAAGGCAAAAACCACAGCGGTCCTGGTGCAAACATGCCTCTCAGCAATGTGTGGGGGCACGTGTGCAGAAGGGATAGCATTTACGGGGTTGTGAGGATTTTAGAAGCCAAACAAAGTGATGATTATGCGAGCGTTTCCGCTTGCCATCCTTGTGTGCGCCCGTACGGTCAGGATCCCGGAAAGTTAGGGCCCCTTCAGCCAGGCTTGTCCCTCCCTGTTGCTCAAACAGACCTATCGAAACGCTGCTTCAGCAATATCGTCTTGGCTTCCCTAATGTTGACCCCACATTAATCAACCCCCAGTTTATTGATAAGGAGGGGGTCAGGGCCCCCTCCAAAAGTGATCTGATTCCAACCACATTTCCCCCAGGGAGAAGGAATCTCCCATGAACAAACTGGGGTTGATGAATATGGGGTGCCGGGACTGGTCGTTTTGCCTTCCGAGATCGCTTCTCCCATTCTTCTGGGTCCTCCAATAGAGAGCTTAGAATAAGGGTCCCAACTTCTTCTGTTTGGTCTATCTTAGTAGGGGAACCGAATCTCCCAACCAAAAAAGAAACGGTGAGCAAGGTTGCACCAATTGCTGGGTTAAAACCTAGCTTTCTTCAAAAACATATATATATATATATATTATATATATATATATATATCGCAAAGCGCGTCAGGCGACATCACCTGGAAGTCGTGCATCACCTCCAACAGGCTGCTGTCTGGGTGGCAGTCTCTGGGAACTCCCAGCCTTGGGCTCTCGATGGGCTGGAAGTTTTTAGGGGAGTGTCGCGGGAAAAAAAAACACAAAAAACAACAATCCTTTTTACGGAAAGCGCGGGTCATTTCAAAAGGTGGGAGTCAACTTGTTCTTCAAAAGATGACTCCAGTGGATTCGACTCCAGTGCATTCCATTCCAGGTCACTTCGGGGGGTCCTGACAGACCACTTGTTCTAAGGTGGATTCCATATTGCAACGAGGGTTAAGATATTGAAGGGAACCCCGCAACAAATCAAGCGCGCTTCCGAATGCACTTGACTTGCGCATGGAGCTCGAAGATCGGATTCCCCAGCCTGGATTCAGAGAACGTCAACTGAGTCGCAACTAAAACCCGGGTATTAAAATGGTTGACCCAGAACCATGTAAGGAAATACAAAGGCGGATACCCGCAGCTGTTTTTTGCCGGGATTGTCCCTTCCTAACCTTCATCTACCCGGGTTTTGATTGTGGCTCAACTGCCTCTGTCTGAACATCGACACAAAGCCGTCCGCTCAGAACACAACAAGCTTCGCCGGATCAGCCCAGCCCAATCCACAGCTAATGCACTGCTCGGCACAACTCTGGACACCGAAAAGTGGTATGAGACTAGTTGGATTTGTCATGGTTCCCCAACTGGGGCTATGGGGCCTGGGGTGTGTGTGGGGGGCTATCCCGTATTAACCCCTTAATAAAGCCTTATTAAGAGCTTGTCCTTGGCTAGTCCCCCCCCCTCCCCAGTTCGCCCCTAAGGGTCCATGAGTCCTGCTTTATGGAAACACATACTCTTAAGCAACGCCTACACCCAAAACCGGAAACCAAGCCAGGCCCAAGTCCGAGCGAGCCGCTGGCACACCAAGCGCACAACGCAGTACTGCACCAGCAGCAGCATAAACCAGGTGGCCAAGCACGCGTATTGCCTAGCAGCCAAAAACCCATCGACCCTTTTGTGTCTTTGTGTGTGTGTGTGTGTGTGTGTGTGTGTGTGTGTGTGTGTGTGTGTGTGTTTGCGTGTCTTTGCGTCTTTGCGTCTTTGCGTGTTTGTGTGTGTGTGCCCTTGTGCTTGATGGTTTGTGGGGGCTTCAACTTTCGAATGTATGGGCGGGGTGTTTCTTTCGACGGTACCAGTTTTTGGGAGCTTTGAAGGGAAACGAAAAGGAAACCAAAATCCAGCGTGGGGGTGCCCTTTTTGTAAGACACACCCTTGTGGATTTGTCTCCAACGAAGACGGCCTCCTTTGGTTGCCCTCAGCAACTTTAAAGGGTGCCCTCAAAAAGAAACGCCTCCATGTTCCGCGGCTCCTTGGGACATGTTCAGGTGAATCAAGTTCAATCTTTCTAGAGGGAATATTCCGTAGGGCCCCTTGGCGTTTCCAAGAAACCATACTATTTACATACGGGTGTATAATTTTAGGGACCCCCGCAAAAAAAACAAACCGAAGGTGGTTTTCTCATGGTTTTCCTGCAAACCACAAGCAAGGGGGTACCAACTCAAAAAAACAAAAACACCCGCCCATACGACTTTCTGAGATCCAAACCCCTGACTGGTTGGTCGCACGATACACGCAACTTGTTGCTACTTACGCGTAGCGCGTTCACCGGACAAGTGGCAAACCCAACACAGGTCAGTAAAAGCAATGAGATCAGTCAACAGCTCAGCCCACTTTCCTTCTGCAAATAAACGCGAAAGGAGAAACCGAAAATACAAGAAACAAACGACTACAACGACAGAGCGGGCCTCAAGCTGCGCAAGGAACACACTTACGCTGAGATCGATCCGAGTCGGCCCAGGAGGTCCAAAACATCAAACCCAAAGGCAGATGGCCATGGGTCAACATCCAAGCCGTTACCCCCAGTGAACATCCGATTCAATCCAACCACTAAAATAGGTTCTAAAATGGGTGGTGCACCTACCCGAAATTGGGACCATTGGTTTTGACCCACAGCCAGATCTAATATGCAGGTAGGGGTCGTGCAATGGTGCAACGTTTTGCTGACACGTGAGATAACAGAGCCGATGCAAGCCAGTGCACTGTCTTAGGTGCCTGTTTCGCCCCAAAAACAGCAGCGCCACAACAGCAATAGACCCAAGCCCAACACAACAAATACATATCGGAGTCAGCACAAGCATAGACTCGACCGGACAACTTGATAGATGCGAGGTGGACAACCAATTGTGCGAGGGAAGAGTGTCGAAACAACATCAAGAACGCTCATGTCAACATTTCTTTGAACGCCGAACCTGAAGCGAATGAACGTTTATACGTGTGAAGGCTGAAACTTTGGAGAGCTTGGCCGTTTGGTTGTGTATGCATTATGACCCCCCCACCCTTGAACAAGCATTGAACAGCATTCTAGGGGAGCTTCCACTTGCATTCTTTCCAGGGATCCATCCTTTGTCTTCTCAGGAAACCAGCCTAAAAACGGAGAATCAGATCCGGTGTTTCAAAAGAATGGTTGAAAAGAATGGTTGGAACCAACCCCTCGAAACATAGAGGACTTCAGCCAAGCTCTGCTCGAGGGATTCGAGAACGGATTTGAAGGTCCGCAATGGCCGCGATTTTCTCTAGCTGTAGCTTTGAACGTACGCGATTCCCCCCCCCCCCTTGTTTTTTTTGGCCACATCTCGAGTCCAAAAGTGTCTAACCTTAAAAGCCAAAGCCGAGTTCCTCTTGTATGTATATGCATGCATGTACGTACGTGTGTCTGTGTGCATCCCGTCACTATTGGGCCACGAAGTCAGGCCTCCAGGGCACACGGTGGCCATGTCGACCCTCATGGCAGAGCTCAGTGCCCAAGAGGCCGCCCTCCAGCACCTCGCGAGACGACTTCTTCCGCTTGAAGCGGCCCGCAGTAAGGGGACAAACTTGGCGCAGTTTTTTGCCCCGGAAGAAATGGAGTTTAACGGAACGCCCCTTCAAAAAAGAAGAAGTTTGAAACGCCTTTGCACAACTCGATGCTTTGGTGCAGCGTGTGAGAAATCAGAGATAGTACCAAAGACACTATGAGGATAATATGAACATACTTGCCTATTCAGTTGTTTTCCCAGGATACCAGTAGGGGGTGAGGTCTTACCGGGGGTTTGCGTGTTGGTGAACATCGGGGAACCACAAAATCGACTGCACACACACACACATTTATAGTGGAACTGCGAGCAGGCGCTGCCAAGATTTGCTTGTTGCAGGGTTAACGATGCATGTGCGGTTGCATGCTTGGCCAGCTGTTCTGCTGCGCCACTGCTCTAGCGAACTCCTCGCATCCTCAAATAAGAAGCCGAGATAAGCCTGGGCCTTTTGATCTGCAAGGGTTTGGATGGGTGGACCCTGGTAATTCGCGCCCATCTTCCGGCACTTGGCCGCACAAGCTGGGCCGATGCTCTTACGAAGCTTGTCCCGGATCTGTTTACAAGCACATGGTCAGCGAGTTTCTGAGATCGAAACTGATGCCCGAGCTGCTAGATCTGTTGACAGTGACAACTTTTAAACACAGAACGCAAATTTACTGTGGGTGGGCAAAATCCTGCACTTGTTGAGCCCTGTAAGCCCTGGTATTAACCACTTCCCGGTCTTGCTCTATGCTGGATCAACTTGCAACCAATGGTCAAAACTGATCCCCCGGCTTGCAGAAATGCTGATCCGAATGAATTACGCCATCAATTTTTGTCTAACGCACGGCTGTGGGAATCACCACTTCTGTGATACAACAGAAAGGGCTTCTCAAAGACTATTTTCTTCATATAAAGGGAGATTCCCTTGTATCACAGAAGTGGGGAGAAACCCTTGATCCCGCAACCCTGGAGTCTGACACAATCCAGCCGTGGACGATCTCCAAACCAAGGGGGTACTTCAGGCTGGGACTGTTGCGTAAACGCCTGCAAAGTAACTGTCCTGAACTGCTTTCTCGAACTGCTCCGTGCCCAGTTAGTAAACCTGTGGCTTTCACACACGCACAGAGAGGCTGAAAGGCTCCGGCTGGAGACATTCCCATACAGCACCCAAAAACCAAAACCGAAAGGGCGATATTGCCTTGATTATTGACATTGAAGCGCATTGACTCCCTGTCCGGGGGCTCCATGTCAATATATGTGCTGTGAATCTTCGCTGGAAGTCTACACCGCTTTGCCCCCCATCACTGATGCCTCCCGATGGCACTCGAATTCCATGGTGCAACCTGCAACATAGGAGTTGCCATGAACAGCAACTCTCAGCGCGTGGCATGTGGCACGAAAAATCTCACTGCGCCCTCTGAAGCTGAACCAAACCAATTCCTGGCTGGCGTGGTTCTGACATGGGTCAGTCCTGGGCCTTACATTCAAATTACAAGCAAACTAGATAGTGGAGCCACCTAAGAAAAGAAGGAACAAAAAAAGAAGGAAACAAAAACACTGGTTAGTCGACAGTTGGGTTTTGGGCGCTGCTCCATTGTGCTTCTTGCTTCCTGTATGTGCGCTGGATGCGGATTGCGGCTTTTTGATTGAACGCCCCCTCTTTGTGGCTGGTGGCTGCAGAACCATCCACTGAAAATGGAGATGGCGCAGACTGCCGCGGAGCTGAAACAACGCTCATGGCTGGCGCGTTTGCCGGAGCGAGATCAGAACATCCCTCCTTGAGAGGCAAATGCTTTAGACAAAAAATTCTTTAAGAGGTGAACATTTGATATTCTTTGTGCTGGGGTCAATGACTCACAAGGTTCCCCGGTCAACATATATGTGCTAGGCCCTCCAGTAGAGAGGTTAGAAGGGAACCCTTCTTTCTGTAGTCGGTTTTAGTAGGGGACCCCTCCCCCAAAAAGGGTAAAAGGGCACTACTGGGGGACCTAGTATGTGTCTCTTCACATTTTGCAGACTGAAACTGAAGGCGCCACTCACTTGAACCAGGAACTCCGACTGAAAGCTCGAGGGAAACATGCCATGGGTATCACCAGATCAAACATGCCCGTTCGCTTTGGACGAAATGAGACCGATCAGAACCATAAGGTGCATCGGGGAACTCCGACAATTGGCTTGGGACTTCACGCTGCCCAAACATGGCGACTCCCCCAATATAAAACAGGGGATGGTATGATGGTGAAGCCGCCGCGCACAATATGAATCTGCACAACGGGAGTTCTGGTACACCCCAACTGAGAAAATAAATGACATCTACCCCGCGCAGTGACTCTAAGAAGATCTCATCGATCTTGCATCATGCCAAAGCCACGCCTGCCTGTTGGGCACTCCTTCAATGCTTGCATCATGAAACGCAGCACATTGGAATGCGTCAGAACTTGAACCCGTAAACCTCCCACCCAAAGAAGGGGGTGAGAAACGGCACCTAGCTGGGGGACCTAGCTGCCTGGCTGGGTCAAAACCTAAGGTGCCTCTTTGTGGATGGTTACCACTCCACTGCTGTCTTTGTAGAAAGCTTACTGGATGCTCCGGGGTTTTGACCCATAGCCGAATTAGCCGATTAGTATGGGGTCGACATTCGCTGATTGCTTCACCCGAGAGCTCTTCCCCAAGCCCCTCCCGGCTGGTCACATTGGCCATGTTCGATAGAAACGATCGATGCACGAAACCTCTAGTTGCTTCAGTCAGGCAAAAACATATGTTTAGTAGTGAACTCGATTTCCCTTAAAACCAAAAAGGGCAAATCACAATAACAAATTTTGGCAAATGGAAGTAAAAACACCTATGGCCCTCCCTCTGTCAAGGTTCGAAGCGACGGTGTTTAGGTTTCTCATCAAGCTCTTTTTACACTTTGCTGGGGGGCGGGGGGCGGGGGTGGCCAAGGCGTGCCTCTCGGTGCGACTCCGAAACGAAGCGGCGCCAACCTTTTGAATCAACGCCGCGTGCTAACCCAGATCCAGCACTCCATCCAGGTCGATGGCACCTGAGGAAAAGTCGTGACTGTCCCTGTATTCGTCCATGGGCCATGGAAAACCAACACGTGGCCCCTGAAAAATTAGAAAAAACAAAACACGGGCGGCATCTTGCTTTCGGGAGCTTCCATTCGATGGCTGGATTCGATTTTCGAGCCGCAGGAATGGAAGGAAGCTTCCAGAGCACGAAGCAATACACCTCGTTTTCGGGTGTCGGGCGCGGAAACAGAAGTCACTAGAAACAGAAGTCACCCAAACATATAGAAATACAACACCGTAGCCGAGCCCGAACACCACAAGAGTACAAAGTCTTTTAAGGAGCCCTGTGTGGGGAATGGGGGATACATGCTTTTTGAGCCCCAATTTCTCTTTATTTTAACCCCCCTTCCGGTTTTTTGACCCCCCATAAGCCACAAGCGAGCCCATCCCCTTTTCCTTGGGTTTTAACCGGAGACACGTTGCCGACTTGCCCTGTGATCGCTAACCCGCCATTTCTCGCGCCTGCCATTCGGGCGCGCGGCAACCTGAGGCACTCGTCAAACCATCTGATTCTTCGTGCCGGAGGATCTGAGTTTGGACATCTGAGTCACTTGCTCATCCAATGGTGGTTTGGTAATTGTCACTACGGTTATATGATTAAAATAATGGTTGACCCAATTTGGATGATGACAATCCTTAAACAATGGTGGTTATATGAGTCATAAACTCAAAACCCGGTATTAAAATGGTCTGCCCAGAACCATGTAAAGAATTAAGAAGGCGGATATCCGCAGCTATTTATGGTTGGGATTGTCCCTTACTAACCTTCATCTACCCGGGTTTTGATTCTGGCTCATCTGTGTCAGGGGTCGGGGGGGATTTCACGAATTCAGTTGGGGCTGTCCCAAAGGAATTAGTTAGGCTCATTGGAAAAGAGTGGCTAATTGATTTGCTAGGCTAGTTGGGACACTTTTGGCTCATTTTGTTGGGACACTTTTGGCTCATTTTGTTGGGCAAATTTATTTCATAAAGTGCCAGTTGAAAAACCAAACAACTTGCCAAGAACAGTGAAGGAACCCACCTGTTTTCAAGCAACCTGACCAAACAATGGCTCAAACCCTCCGCCAGTTGACTTTCCACTGGAGCTGCAGACCTGGCTTCCCGGGTTCCCGACCGCCGAGGGGCTTGGAGGGGCATCTGGCGTGAAGGGGCAAACACTGGCGTGGGAAGGGGACGTGGCATGGCCTCCGATTGATCTGGCGCCTCAAGCTGAGCATGTACTTACAAACAGAGAGCGCCAAGCCAACCACCAAACTTCCACATCATGAAACTGCCCTATGGCTTGCCAATAGGGTATGTAAGATCTAGCCCAAGCCGGGATTTTCACATACTCCAATTCAGAGGCAAGCACATGTACCACTAAACCATGCCCGAGAGGTCTGGACGTCTTTGTGTGGCACAAGCCCCGAGCCCCGGTCGTGGCACTGGTTGAAACCTATCAAGCACAAGCCCTGGTTGAGCATTCTACCCCGCCATCTTGTGTGTCTCAGCAGGGCTGCCCAAAGACTCTTCACAAGCATCATTTTAATGAGCAGCGCACCAGCAAAACAACTGTTCAATAGGACCATTCAATAGGAGCCCCTCACATTGTCAACCCTCGGGTGTTGCTTCACTACTCTCAGCATCTTCCCGCCTTGTACACTACTTGCAACTTGAACTCACTGCTAACTGCATCAATCCCATAAAGCTCTCTTCACGAATCCTCGTTCACTGAAACGAGGGATGTCACTTCGAGAGATCGTCGGCGTGCTCACAAAATCGACAAAACATACATTAAGGCAGCGACAGAACCCAATAACAACAGCACATACCCCCAAAACCAAGCCTGCACAGAGATTGATGAACAATGTTGAGTTTCGGTATTTGAGGTGTTCGCCTTGCGCATGCCCACCAACACATGGGGTCCGTCAAAAGGATGGCCGCTTTTGGAACCTGGTGCTGCCTTGTCTTTTCCCACCTTTGAAAGTGAATACCACAGACTGTGACTAGGTCCTCCAGTAGAGAGGTTGGAATAAGGGTACCAACTTTTTCCCGTAGTCCATTTTAGTAGGGGAGCCCTCCCCCAAAAAAGGGGTGAGAAAGGGCTACTGGGGGACCGAGTCGACAACCCTGACTCGAGACTCGGCGAAATCTGTCGCCTTGCCCTTGCCCTTGGCTTTGCCCTTGCCCTTGGCTTTGCCCTTGGGCCGGAGTGGCGTCCTGAGCCCACCGGCGGATTCCCAGATTCCCCCGGAAGGATCGAGCCGGGGTCCATGACCATCCGCGCTTCGACCATGGTACATATGAGTGTGCGAATTTGCGAGGGCACGCTGGTTGGGGCTGTTTAGTCCTTTTGGTCCATTCAAAAACACCCCCAGGGTAAGAAAGCGCAATCATCCACACATTCGTTCCAATTTTGTTGCCTTCCCCGACGAAAAACCCGTAAGGAGAGTCTCCACAAGTCAAATCTGTCGTCTCCAGAGCCCCGCCCGTACCTCGTGGTTGAGACTTTCAGCGCAAACCTCTTGACTTTAGGCTCAATCACCGCTTGAAACGGTTTACATGGGCCTCGATATAAACCCAAGCCAGGTAGACCCACCTCCAATGACCAATAGGTTGATCGGTGGGCGCTCGCAGAGAATGCTGAATGGGCACGGCAAATCGCGGGGTGAAGGCCAGGCTTACCCATCCAGTCAGGTCTCTACTTTTGCTTCACATGGGGTCCCGCTCAGCAAGCACCCATTCTGGTTGGCGTCTTTATATGGCTGTGGGTCAAAAACAGGTACCCAAAATGGGTTGCCCTGGTAAATGGAAACATGAACTAAAACCTGTGATCCTCTGGTGGCTTAATTTTGACCCACACCCATATCAATGGAAACCAAAAGGCGCTTTGGTAGGTCCACGACTTGAAGACGACCTCCGCGTCCACCCCGAGCTGAGCTCGGCGCGCATCACAAAGCACGTCGTCGCCCTCAGTGAGCAGATGCCCACGCGCGCGACGCAGCCCCCTTTGCACGCCGCCCTGCGGGGAATTATACCAGGTCCTCCAGATTTGAGAGGTTAGAAGAAGTTGGTACCCGACTTTTTCCTTTTTGGTCTATTTTGGTCGGGCAAAATCACAAAATACTTCCAAGCGTGACTCCTCATTCTCATGGACTCATGTGAACCCCTTCTGGGTTGCCTGTTTTCCAGGCATCAAGGCAACTGGAACCCGGTATCATTTCGTGCCGTTCCAAAAAAAGAAAGAACGCAGGGGCCGCCAATTACTTGGTTGCCCAAAGGCCTTGGAAGAAAAGGGCTAACCTTTTGGGGCTATGACCGGAAAAAAAAGAAGAACAAAAAAACAAGAAGAACAAAAAGCGGTTACGAACAGATTCAAAAGGTCGATTCGCTTTGGGCAACTGAGATCCTCACTCATGATTCTCATGGATGAAACACATGATTCCTTCACAACCGTTGGTACGGGCTTGCAACAAAAAGAAGCTCTGTATTTTGCAGCCCACTAAAAATGAGCGGAACACCCGAACCCTAAAAACAACTAACAACATGATCCACCAACAGTGAACTTCCATTTGGTTAAGACCCCTGAAAACACATACTTCCAGTAGTGAAATCGATTCCCTTTAAAACCAACAGGGGGAAATAAACAAACAGTCTTAAGCAAATGGAAGTGAAGCATCTCGTGGAGCCTCAGAGGTAAAACCTAAATCCGGGCCGCCGACGTCTGAG